CACCCAGATCCTTGAGAAAGACATTGCTGGTTTGTAAAACTGACATGAGCTGGGAGAAGACTTACATTTCCAAAAGGCAGCAATAGAATTTATAATATCAAGTTTTTGTTTTATTTTAATTAATATTCTAAAAGTTCAGGGACCTATGTTTGGGAAGAAATCTGCCTAAAGTTTATTCCAGCTGAGGAGATTATTAAGACATCTTGATCATAACTACGAATTAGTAATTCAATTCAATGTATTTTTAGATAACACTGTAATTATGAAAAAATCTCACACTTAACCTGGCTTAGATGAAGGATTATTTGGCGGTGTGAGGCTGTAGAAATTCCTGCTTATGACTTTCTAGTGAACCACATACATCAGAGAATACCAACCATCTAATAATTCAGTGTGTCCTCATATCCAACAAACCACATGATAATATATAGTTATTTGGTGCCAAGAATGGTCACTATTAAAGGCAGTCTTCTTTCACCTTAATATTTTGACAGTCAGTGGTAGGCTGCTCTGCATAGGATTATCAGTTCAAATAATAAGTAGAGCTTGGAAATAGATTAAGAAATTTGATTTTGGAAAATAAATGTCATAATGACATTTGTCCTAGGAATGTCATGTATGAGATCCACATTAAACAGCAATATATTCTCAGTAGTAGTCTGTCATTATGCTGTGCTCTTTAATAAACATGAGACATAAAACTTGTTCAAACATTTTTATACAAATCAAAACAAAGATAAAACCAGGCATATTTTATATTTTGACATTCATTAGTTGATTTCAAAAGTATTTGGCAATATTAATATAGACTTTTTAAAAATGGATATTTATTTTCAAAATGAAAAGGAGAAAAAACAAATCTGGACATGTTAGAGAAAGTTGTTAAAAATTATCCTTCAATAGAAAATGAAAATTGGTGGTTCCTTCTGTCTCCCTGTAGGCAATGCAAATATTTCAAGGTCTCAAGCGAGAAGAATTCCAGACCTTTCATGAAGAATTCTGACACAGTTTATGAAGAATTATACAAGTTTATTTTTTTAATCTTTGTCTTTTTTTGTTTGTTTCCTAAATGAACTTGCTTCAGGCGATATTCAGTATTTCTGCTCCATCTTATTCTTTTTCTTTGTCTCTGTATACAGTTTTGCATGTATGCATTTTAATCATTATTTCTTAAATTCTGGAGCTCTCTACCAGTCATCCATTCAGAATTCTCTAATTTTTTTAAACTTTCTGGCGGCACCCAGTGTGATAAGGAATAGTTACTGCAGCAAGAGAAAACATCATACAGAGCACTTAAACTAGTGTTCTTTGTTTCCAGAGAGGCCAAGTTATTGGGAAAGTGTAAGCTCTCAAGGGGAAAAAAATAAATACACAGTCACTACTTAGGTACTGAGTTTTGCAATAGTTATATGTTTTATTTTGTTTTGTTTTGGTTTTGATCAGCAAATCAAACAAGTTTTAAGTAATATAGTTTATTTTGGCAATTGAGAAATAATTGGTTTTAAAAACATTGCCAATCACTGCTAAGTGATCTCAAAAAAATAAATAAATAAAAACACTGAGAACATTGATTAGGAAAATGTTTCAGAAACCATCATATTAAAATTATATTAAGAATCCTTGCATATGCCAGCTGTTTCATGTTATTTTTTGCTGCTCCTGAGATAAATGAAATTTTCACTAATGTCAAAGTATTTTAATCATTTTGGCATGATGATAACTCTTCCAGACTTATAGGAAGAATTCTAAGTACTTACCAGAGATAAAAATTTATTTTTCTCCAAAATAATTTTCTTGATTTATATTACATTGAATGTCCTTATCTCATTCTGTTATTACAGAAAAACACAAAAAACTGAAGGTATAAGCTCTGTAAATTTATAACACACACACTATTTTATAGACAATGGTGTCTCGAATTAGGAATCAGATTTGGTGATTATAAAAAAAATTACTGATGAAAATAATGGTGAGCACTTCTTCATGTAACTGTTGACCAACATGTGCTTTTCTGGAAGAAGTGCCTATTTCATTCTTTGGTCCATTTTTTTTTTTTGATTGAGTTGTTCTCTTTTTACAGAGTTGTATAAGTTCTTTGTAAATACTGTATATTAGGCCCTTATCATCAGGAAAATGCAAATCAAAACCACAATTAAGTACCACCTCATTCCTGTAAGAATGTTCCTTATGGGGGCAAAAAGCAGTGGAGTAAAAGGAACACTTGTACACTTTTGGTGGGAATCTAGACTGTTCCATTTCTTGTGGAAAACAACATGGAGATACCTCAAAATGTTAAAAAATAAATAGCAATTCTACTCCCTAGTATTTACCCAAGGAATGCAAAAGCTCTCATTTGAAGAGGATGTGCTAATTGCAGCCTTATTTAAAATAGACAAGCTGTGGAAACAACCTAAGGGCCCAACAACAGATTAAAGGATGAAGACGTGGTGCATATATGTGCTGGAATACTACTCATTTAGTAAAACGAGATGCAACAACATGGATGGAACTGGAAGGGATGATGCTAAGTAAAACAAGTTAGAAGGAGAAAGGCAAATGATAATTTCATTCATGTGCAACACAGAAAAACAAAACAAAGGAACAAACAAAACTAAGCCAAAACACACTCTCTGACTGTAGAATTGAGGCTTCTAGAAAAGAGTGTGAGGTATGGTACAAATAGGGAAGGGTGCCCAAAGGTATATGAGGAAAGTTTATAGGTGCTTTGCTGGTGGATGTGATATAGTAACATAGAGCTGAAGAGGTATGAACCTATCCCCCAAAGTAATATACAGTATTGTAAACCAACATTACCTCCCAAATCAAATCAATCAATAATTATTACTTTGATTTTAATAAAAAGAATTCCCTGATAAAGTTACTACTAGCAAATAAAAAGATAAATTACAGGGTAAGTGAGTATGATATTTCCAAGATCTATAAAATCATGTAATTTCTATGTTTTGAACTTAATCAAAGACCATTAATAAATAATCATTGCCAAAGTACATGATGTGTTGATATGATATTTAATCATGTATAAAATTACTCTAAGCAAAAGAGTCTTTTTCAGGTTATAACACAATTGTCCTAATAGAAATTTGTCATATAGTTGTGTTCATATATATGTGTATATATATTAAGCAGTTCTAAGCAATTGTCCTAATAGTGTCAATTTCTTTTATAGCTGATGACATGTAATGTTATATGACTATTGGAAAGTCATATAGTATTTAAGTATGCTTATAAAATTTTCCTTGCTCTTTAATTCAATTATTCCATTCCAGGAATAATTTTCAAGAATAATGCTCTCTGTCAAAATATAAAAGTGGATTATGCACAAAATGATTTTGAAATATAAGTCAATGTTTTTCTGATTTATAACAGAATATAATAAAACAAATACCATAGAAGTCATAATGATAATAGAAATACATGACAAAATAACATGAAATTAGAATAAAAAAGAAAAGAGTAAAACTGAAAAAATAAAAACATTTGGTTTATGGAGTGGAAATTAAGGAATTATAGCTAAACTTTTTGATTTCTATATCATTTACTATTTTTTTGGTAAAATACAAAAATATATTTTTAAGAGAACAAATCTGCTAGTGGATAAGCAAACAATATATTTACATCTTGAAATAAAGCAACAGCTTTATAAGTAACTCATATGTGGTACACATAATTCACAATGAAAAAACTAATAAAACTGTTTTGCTAAATGTATAGAGGAGCCAAATTAAAAACTAAGTGTAAACTAACATACTCTTACCATATGATCCAGCAACTACACTCCAGTATTAATCAAATGAAATGAAAATTCTGGTCTACACAAAAACCTGCACATGAATGTTTCTACCAGTTTATTCATAATTGACAAAAATTGGGAGCAACCAATATGTCCTTTAATAGGTGAATGGATAAACTGCTCTACACATTCAGACAACAGAATATTATTCAGCACTAAAAAGAAATGCACTAGGGCCTCCCTGGTGGTGCAGATGGTTGAGCAGCACACTGTGAAGCTGTCTGCAGCCTCTGCAGTGCGGGTTCGATCCCTGCCAGCCAAGGAGATATACACATGGCGTGGCAGACCTCTCCTGTCCCTCCTGCTTCTCCCCTCAACAGTGTATTTCGTCAGTCTGACTGTTCTGTTCCCCACTCTGTCTCTGGTGAATCCTCTCACCCTCCCACACATCTGGCCTGTACCCTGGTTCTTGTATAAATAAATGAATCTTTAAAATAAATAAATAAATAAAATAAAGAAATAAAAAGAAATGCACTAGCAGACCATGAGGAGACATGGAAAAACTTTCAATATATAATGCTAAATGAAAAAAAGTCAATTTGAGAAAATTATATACTATAGGAATCCAACAATATGGCATTCTACAAAAGACAAACTACAAGGATGAATAGGTACACCAAAGTGGGTTTTTAGGACAGTAAAATTATTCTGTATCATACTATATTAGTGGATACATATCACTATTTATTCATTAGGCCCCATAGAACACACAACACCAAGAGTGACCCCTAATGTAGATTATTGACTTTGTTATCAATATAAGTTCATCAATTATAACAATTATACCACTTTGGTGTTGTGTAGAGGAAGGAGATTGTGGGGGAGGAGGGTGAATGGGGACTCTTATTTTCCACCTAATATTATCTTAAAAAATAAAGTCTATTTTTAAAAAATGAGTCTTAGGTTATGTGAGATTTTCAGTGGAGGTTGCCATAATTTTTGAAGATCTTAATGTTCAAAACATATAATCAGTGTTGCACCATTTTGACATGACAGGGTAATAAATTAAAAAAAGAAACCATGTAATATTAATGCAATAAAATTATTTAATTTTTAGACAATAATGAAAAATATATACTGAAATCAGAATTAGTTTAGGGGAAAACAAGAAATTATAAAATTTAAGATTGATATTAATGATACTGAATCCATGTTAATAAAATGAATACATATCTGTAGTTTAATAACATCCAAGCATTTAAACAATTAATTGAATTTTGTCAGGGAAAATGGGAAGGAAGACAGTTTTTATCTGCAAGGACAAATTTTAGACTACATATTTTAGTCATCATAAACTACTAGGGATTTCAATATTTTAATAGATTCATTTAGTTGTAAATGTCTTCAAGCACATTATGAATCCTCCAGAGTCTCTGCTTTGTAATATAAGTTTCTAACATATTCATTGTCTATTTCTAAGATCAGTTCGCTACTGCTATCCCATTAGCCTGCCTTGTGATTTATTTCAAAAATACAATGAATATCTTCACTTTGCATTCATGACCATTTAATCTTGGTTTTTAAATCAAAATTTAATGGCAAGTTATTATATATTATAACACATTTTTTGCCCAACCTATATCTTTTTTCTTTTTATAGTAAATCCTACATCCTGACACCATTGTTAGAAACATTTCATTAATAATTATATTTGGACATATTTCCTTTTCTGAGCTTAGTTTCTTTATTGTTTCTTAATAGCACTGTGCATTTTTATACATTAAAAAAAGATTATATTGATGCATCATGGGAAAGTGTTGGGTTCACCAACCTTATTATCATTTTCCTTTAACCCTTTCCCTAATCCTTCTGGTTTTTATGTGTGATGTGCTGAAACAGACTCATAACCCAGAAGTGATGCAAAAGCCATATTCAGGAGATAAGACATATACAAAAAGAGCTTTAGCAAATATTTAAATAATAAGGAACTATGGCAGGGAAGTTTATCTGTGACAAAATATAAAAGAACAATTATGCCTTTCTGATGCTTAACTTTATCACCAATAAAATTAAAACAAAAACCATTTGCCTCAGAACTGCTGTGATGATTAAGTTGGAAAATAGAAGTAAAGATTCAGTACTAGGCATAACATGTCATATTAATATATAATTCCATAATAATGATTTTGCCATCTCAAAATTATAGACGAAATTTTAGGTAGACAAAACACTTAGAAGAAGAAAACACTAACTACACATGCCTAAAACTTGAATGAAAACGAGAGTTAAGTATTTGGAATTTCATTCCAAATTATCATGTGTGAGTATCTGGTTTGGTACCAAGAAGCAAAAGTATAGCATAGTCTGTTGCAAACACAAAAACAGAGAAAAGAGTCAGGAAAATTATGAATAATTTAATCACATTGTATTCAAGTTAATCCCCAGCTCGTTTGCCTTTTATTCTTCATTTCAGTTAGTTACAGTTTCATTTGTTATCGCCAAGGTTGTGCATGCACCTTGAAATATTCACAAAAGGTCCACGATACAGGGGTTCATAGTTAGCATATACATTATATTCAGAATCCCAGGGGAACGAATAGATTCTGGTAACACTGATTAAGCATGGTGAAGAATTCTTATACAGTTTCAGCTGCAACAGTTTTAAAGACAAGTACAAGCTTAATTAGTCACAAAACTCACAAAAAAGTGATTGAAGAATATCTCTTTTATGCAAAATATACATTTGAAGATATAATTTAAGATTCTACTATATGCTGACACTTCGCCTTTATCAATAAAAAAATACTCTCATTCCAGATTTTTTTTTTGTATTTATAATTGAGGTAACAATGACAAAAGACTTAAACTATGAAGAATGTTGGTGAGCATTTTTTTGGTCACTATTTTCCAGAACTAAACAAAGATGTGATTAAAAATATGTCAGTTTTTATAATAGGCACTGAAAAGTTTACAACATAATGTGACAAGCTAATAACATAACTTGTTTATAAGAAAATGATACAATCAATGTTCATGGATCCAAACAATAGGAAGAAACCAGGGAAATTAAGACAGACCTATACTACACCAGTATCACTGCCTTGCATGATTGACAGCACAATCTACTGCGGGCCCAGGAATGGTAATTCACAGAGATAAGGGCCTCATTTGAAGCTTCCGAGATGCTGATTGTGAATTTGGCTTCCTTGGATATGAGCTGGCCAAAGCTTTTGACCCATGCATACACTTTGATATTTACAATTGTTTCCTGGACACGGCCCGTTGTTAAGCAGACCACTCAGATGGAGAGCACCAAATGAGTTCCAGTCACAGTTCTTTTAAAAACTTTAAATGACTCGTGTCGTTGCGGGGACCTCTTCCAAGTGCAACCTGGTCACAGCAGGGCACGTTCAGCAGCAGAAGTCTGTTTCCGGGACAGTCCTTGGCATGGCTAAATTCCACTGTCCCTTTTTCAGCAGCCAAAAATCCATGATAAATTCTGTATAACACTGCAGCCAATAACAGCAGCACCAGACAGTATATTAATTCCTTTACAATAAAGATGCGTGTAATTATAACTTTCTATGTGTATTGTTATCACAAGGATCACTGAATCTCTAAATATCAGATATGTACGTCTGGGTGGAGACACTGCTGTACAAGATCTCTGACATGCAGATCATGCTCTAGTACTTGGGATCTAGAATAATACACAGTATGTGCTGATAGCAAAAGTGACAATTGTCTTCCTAACAAAGACATGAGAATTAGGAACGAATCAACAACCTCACAGATCCTGTATGCCTTAGAAAAGTTGTTTATATGTCATTTTTTTTTTCCCTCCCATGCCCAAAAGACCAGACACACTGTTGCTATTGCATTTATAGAAATGTGTAAACAGAATTTCTTTCACTTGGACAGAATAAGCCTCCTTAGGGGCTTTGTTTGAGTGTAGTGATAAATGCTGGTTGCTAGGTAGTAGAAACTGACACTGTAGCAGGCATCCAAATGCAATGGTGATGTAAAACTACTTTAATCCTGCTTATCAAAAAGGTCCACAGTACCAATTCACTTAGGTAGTCTACAGGGTATTGTTAATTTATACATAAAGCAGAGAGGCTGTTATAAATAGCAATGAAGGCAAAGGGTGGGGCAGAAGACCCAACACTAAAATAATGAACACCTGATCAAGGCATTTCTGTGCTTCACGGAGACAGATGGGATACACAGTTAAGACAGGGAACTAAGACAAACAAAACAACATATAGGACAAAGCACCTGATAAAACATTGCCTGAAAATCAGATTAGTCCAATGAGTTTGAAGTTTAAGGCTGGTCAAGAAAACCTCCCATGAACACCGATGTTCTTTGATGTTTGCACAAAAATTAAGAAATAAAAATAAAAGAAGGGGGTAAAAAGACACGAGAGCTTTGGGTGATATTGGCACTCTGCCTCTGAAAATGATGACAAATTCTGGGATTTAAAAAAAGAATGACTATTACCAAGCAGCAATTCCTGGCTAAACAATGCACGCCTGGCTGGCAGTTACCTTTCTCTCGTGTTTTGTGCCTTCCCCAAGCCATTAAGTAAGAGATCTGGCTTCGGCTTGCGTGTAACCAGTAATGACAACATCTTTGCAGTTATCTGTGTGCAAACAACCAGAGACATTCAGAACTCTAATACAACATTGTTTGAATAAAATAAGTCAATTAAGAAATTAAACTATTTAAATAAATAATTTGCTCAAAGATTAAGGGAAAAAAATACCAAAGAGAAACTCACCCTCCCTGCCCCACAATTCAACATGCAGAACAGTTGACCAGCGCTTTCATACCAGCAGGATGGATCGATGCAAATACACATATCCCGAGCTATCTACAATCCCGAATTCTGAAACATTGCTTTTAGGTGAGAGACAAGATGGCCCATGCAAATGAGCTGACCAAAGTTATGTTGTGTGCAATCAAGATAGGATCCGAGACAACTTCAGAATGGTTTAGAGTCACAAGAAATGGAAGTCCAGTGAAGTAGTTAGCATTTGGAAGCACAGTTTTAAATATATCTCCCTGAAGATATGCTTATGTATTTGTGTACTGGTCAATATCTGACACTATCTGTCATTTTATTGCAAAAGGAGATTAGGACAACTAATATAGAAAAGTAGTAGCAGCACTACTTTAAGTAGCTTTTATAGCCAGGATAAGACTCATTAGCTACCCAAATGGCATTTCAGACTTCAAATAGTAGTATCATGCAGGATTTTTACTGTATTAATGGAGCTTGGAGTAACTCTATGTTTAATTGCTTCCATTATGGGGTAAACAGTACTTGAATTAATACAATTTAGCCGACTGACGCAGTTTGGTTTACAAGATAGATGGGATAGGAGATCGAGAGCGCCTCAGAGGACAAGGAGAGTTGTAAGGTGATGTTACTGGAGAGAGCCTCAGAGCATTGCCTGCCAAGCCCGCTATGTTGTTTAAGCTTCGTGATTTTTCATATCCTTTTATGAAAAAATGCACAGACATCAGTTGAATTCAACCAAAAAATAGACACAGACAAACAATACCATGCAAGGTAATCAAAAGTGCTATTTTTGAACTCAAAGAAGAATTTGTATACAAAGAATTCAATATTGAGACAATTTATAACTCTAAAAATAGGAAGCTTAAGGTAGCTGTCATTCCCAAAAGATTAAACCAGTTATCACAAATTACAGTGGCAATACTTCAATATCTATTCTTTCGCAGAATATACCTGGTATTGATGTAATGCTGTCCTATGCTATACCAGAACTCTTAAGAATTAGGCAAAGCAACTAAGTAAGCTATAAACTTGGCTACTACTTTTAAATTTCAGAATCTGTTCCTGAAAAAAAAAGATTAATGGGTTATTTATTGTCTTTTCAATTTTTGTTATCTACCAAGCTAATAAAGTATGTTTAACTTCGAGTGGACACCTCTTTTTCCAGCAAATTTAATCTTCCAGCCTCATAGGGTTAAAAGAATGATGTTTACATAATGGATTTGATACCATTATCTAGATAATGTCAGATGAATGCTCATTTCTAATCCCTTGTATAAAAGAAAATGAAGTTAAAAAAAAGAATGAAATAATGAAATATATATTGGATTATAACATCAATGAAGTATTTTGAATTTAATTATATGATGTTTTCAGCTAACTCCCCCTGCCAGGAATTAAGAAAAATTTGGTAATAATTCACTTTTTCCTTCTATCACTTTGCCTTCTAATTTTCTATGTAGAACAGTTATGGAATTAGAAGGTAAAAGGTGCTTCTCACAAAGTTTAATTCAGTAGCTTTCCTCAGCTATTCTGGCAATAACCCATCACGGTCATTTTTGAAAGGATTCACATTTTGTTGTATTTTTATTAGACAAGGTTAGGGGCACTAAAATGCGGTGAGGAGCACATGATGTAAGGCTGGGAGCTGAATTGTCTGAAAAGTAGCTCAAGTGCTGACGGAGAAAACAGCCACATTATACAGCTGATGAAAATGTGTTATAGAGCAGAAAAATCAAGTTCTGTGCTGGGCAGCCAAACCTGAACAAATAAATACAATTCCAGTGAATTTCCTGTTTCCCTTAGATTTACAGCACACTCCTTGCGCCCTGGTTAGCCCGCAGTGTGCTTGGTGACTGTATAAGTAAGAACATGGGGCTTGTGTGTTTCCTCGTGTTCCTCATAGCTACTTCTTTCTTCAATTCTGTATTTTCATGGCACTTCTGAGAAAGTAGCCGTTGCTCTCACCTCCTTTCACTGGAAGGGGAGAAGTGATTTAAGAAATTTAGTGATCATTTGATTTATGAGCACGCAGGCCAGATGGGATGTGGATTGCAATAACAGCTCTATTACAGAAGAGAGTTGAGCTAGATAGGAGCCTGCACAACATACACACACACACACTTTCAGTAGACTGGTTGTCTACTTTGAGATTTTATAGTAGGAAACTTCTGTCATTTATTAACTGTGGTAAAGTTCGCTAGGACATAATTTCTGCTAATGAAGAAACTATCTGACAATGTGTTTTGCTAGTATCCTGAGCTAATAAATATGGAGATATATATTTCATTGCCCTTATGGTGGATGATGGAATAGTTAATGGGAGAATGTTTTAATTAAAAAACAATCGCAGGTCATTTACTCTTATGTATGGATCCTCATATACCTGGGAGGCTAGTTATTACTACTTTTCTGTAAAGTGTTTGGACTTAAATACAACTTTGGGAATTTTAGAAAGAGTAATTTATCCTAGCTGACTGTGTAATCTAAAAATGTAAACTAGACTATAAACTTTGATTGGTTTTGATTAAAATCAAGCTGGAGAATATGTATGTGCCAAGAAGGTTGTTGATACCTATAAATCATCCTTATAAAATTTTAGATATTGTCCTCGCAATCTCCATGTTCTGTACAGGATCTCCCAAAACAATAAAGATCTGTTTGACAATTTTAAATTAATCATGCTAATAATATTTAAATGTTGGTGGCCATTATAAATGTTTAATTTTCTGAATCATAATTTTTAATATAGAGAATGTCCTGTTTCTGCATTCCTTTATTTTAACTTTATTGTATTCATTTGCATTTCATTTGCAAATGCTTCCCTTTAACTTAGTAATAAGTATTTTATTAGCAATATGCCTTTCATATAAATTTAGTTCTCTTTATTATACAGGTTCACTTTTGATTAGGAACTTTAACAAAATGTTGTTGCCTAATCAAACTTTCATTGACTGCAATGGCTGAAAATATAATTCACAAAAATCAATAATAATAAACAGTTTAAACTAAAATCTAGGGCCTCCCTTATGGCGCAGCAGTTGAGTGCTGGGCTGCGAAGCTGCCTGCAGCCTCTGCAGTGTTGGTTTGATACCCGGCCAGCCGGCAAGGGTCCCACATGGTGTGCAGACCTCTCCTGCTGAGCCCGCTGCTCCCCTCAGCAGTGTATTTCATCAGTCTGTCTGTGCTGCTCCCCGCTCTGGTTCTGGTGAATTCTTTCACCCTCCTGAGCTTCTGACTGTACCCAGTGCTTGTAAAAATAAATAAATAAATCTTTAAAAAACTAAAATCTAAATGGTATGGTATGCTTGGTGTGCTTTCTATACTGTATTTGAAAAAGTCTGTGTTTATTCAGGGCAATGTTGAAACTGGCTATCAAAGTGTGTGGTTTTATTTATGTTTTTCTAAAAACTACTGAATAAATAGAAATGAGTCCCTACATATTGATAGTTCACTCTATTAAGGAATCCATAGGTTTTCTTAATGTATATTCAACTATATTGATAGACTATATTATAAGTAATTGGTAGAAAAATAATTCACTGGGAATCCAGTCATTTCTCTTTATCTACAAAGGAGAAAATTTTCAAAATTGTACAATCAAATCAGCAAAGAGATCAACATGAAAGGTAAAAAGAGAAACCATATATAAAATAAATGTTTGAGTAGGAGAAGAGAAATATCTACAACCTACATAAAAAGAAACAAAACAAATGAATTAATTCCTGATAGACATGACAAGAAAACAAACTAAGAAAATTAAGTGAAGTTAGTCAGAAATGTTACTTCACCTAGGAGAAAAAACACAAAGCTGCAAAAGAATTAGGCAAGAATGAAAAGGAAGTTGATTGTGGTTGAGAAATGACTGAGAATAAAAAACTTATAGATGAATGTTCAAAGATGTTCTCATTGATAAAACACATCTGTATTTGTGAATTAAAATTGCATATATAACTTTCCCATATAAATTAAATATCTATTAGTTGCTTTGCTCACTGAGCTGACATTTTAAAAAAAACCTCCTTATCGATATAGTTCTTTTTCCATCTGTGATTTCCTTGACAGTTTAAAACTCAAAATATTGTCTAACACAGAAAAAATATCTAGCTACATCCTTAAACAAATAATATTGGTATAAATATTGCATGTGATATTTTGTTGAATAATGCTCAAAATGTATGTAGATTCAACCACATGTTACATATAAATACATATGTACGCATATGTACATGTATATACATATAATGGAGCTTATATGTTATTGTTAGTTAAATATTATTATCATCATTATTAAGATTTGTACATAGACTTTGATCAAATGCTATGATAGGATATTAACTATCTTCATAAAATATTTAAAAAGTATTACAACACAATATCTAAATTTAATATAATAAACTATCAGATAACCCAATTCAGATAATTGAAACACATTTTGTTGCAAGGAGCAGATGGAGAGAATGGAAGTACATGGAATGAAGAAGTATTTAAAACTGCTTATTGAAGAAACAAGAGTCCTTTGTCTTCTCTTTTCAGACTTAAAGGAATAGAGACAGAAAGGACAGTATAAAGTGTTAAGAAATGAAAGAAAAGTGCATGAGTAATGATGTGTTTCAAAGAAAAATGTTATTACAAAATAAATAGGAGAGGCTTAAAATGATAAAGTATTCAACAGGGAGAAGCTACAATGAATAGAAAATAAGCAAGATATTTTTTATTTATACTTTTTTTTATTGAGGTAAGATTGGTTTACATCATTGTTTGTGTTTTGGAGGTATAGGGTTTCTCAGGTGTAACCGTCAGGTGTAACTTCTGATACTACACCTACCACAAACGCACCTGTAGTCCATCCCCACAGTGAAGTAGCACTAATATGAAAGTTTGGAGAGAATTTTCATGCAAGTTCAGTCAATCTCATAAGAAATTATATAGTTTTCACTAGTCTGTCAATAAAAAAAAAAAGGAACTGAATGTATCAGGAGGAAGAGGTAATCAGCACTTTGACAAAGATGTGCTATAAGTGTCACACAATTACTTCTTAAGGAGGAAAAATGTCCAACTTTCCTGAGATAATTATTTTACTAAAAATAAAAATCAGCACCCAGGGAATAGTTATTGTGGCACAATCTAGGAAAATAGAAATATATCATAGAATAGAGCTTCAGTATTCTGTTATATTCCTTACAAGATGACTCCCCCAATTAATTACTTACTAATTTCTATGTGCCAGACGCTGTTCAGCATCAACTGAAAAGTAGTAGTAAACTTAAAGAATTATTATTGTCCTGAAAAGAAATTATTTAAATCCTTATGTAGACTTTCAAGTCGTAACCTTCTGACAATTAGATAAACTGGCAAAAACTGCTCAAATATTGGGTAAGAGGCATAATTAGAGTAAATTTAATGTTTTACTTGAGGAAAATGCCTTATTGTTTTATAATTATCAATTAGTTATCAAATATATGTAGAGAACCAACTAGTTACTTTATTACTTATAGAAAAAAGATAACTTTGAAAACTGCTGAGTACTTTATGTTAAATTGGATGACTGACAATTTTTAAAATGCAGGAGGATGAAATGTTTTTCAGAGATGACAATCAAGCAGGATGATATGACATATATTTTAAAATGTTTATAATGAAAGAAGATGTGACAAGGATAGGAAAAGAGCACTACATACAGTCTTTTCTAGAAAACTATAAACAGTATTTTACCTCACACCATATATTTGCAACTCTTAATCACCTGTTTGGATCTGATTAAATGCATGCCTACCTTTCCTGATGCCTCCATCAGAAGCACACGTGTAATCACCTGTCGTCAGTAGGAAACACGTTTCCCCTCTTCTGTTTTTGTCTCTGGTACTAGAACGTCTGATGGGGAGCCTTTCTGGGGGTGATAATGGCGGCTCACTTCCTGTACTGTCGTCACCTGATAACACTGGTTACAGCACCATGCCCATTGACAGACAGTGATGGATGAGGAAATGAGACAGTACAAAGAGTTTACACCAAATGTCCATAGTACGGTCACTCGATATACAAAACATAATAATCACATCGTCATAAGAAAAATAATTTCCATCACACCTTACAAATATTTACATGGAGTAAATGGAAATGTATTGAAAAGGAGAGAAATGTTCTTTGGGGAATTTTTAAAATTCCATTTTGATATATCGAATAGGAAATTAATATTCACAAAGCTAATATGAATTCAAATGGTGATCGTTAGGAAAAACACAAATTAATACCCTATAATTTTTAATATGCTATCTAGTTACTATGAATAGGAATCTTTAAAATTGGAGTCTTTAAAATAGGAATCTTTAAAATTGGAGTCTATTTAAGGAAAAAGTCCAATTAAATATTTGTTTTTGTAGTTTGTTAAGACACACACTTTTATTCATTTCTGAAAGTAGTATTTCCCTAAAATCTTAATAAAAATGATTCCAAATATCACAAACTTTGTATCCAGTTTCTTCATTTTTAAGTGACAAATATGTTTGATTGTAACAATAGAACTAGATCAGCTTCTCAAAATGCCCTAGAAACAAATATGGTTTTACTCTTACATGTTTGTTAAAGGTTTTCATATACTATCAGCCTAGAAACTAGTTTTTAGAACAATGTTTACCCAGGCTGAGAATGTGTCCTCTTTGTCTATGCCCTTCTTAAAGACTCTGCACAGTTTCTCTGAGAACAGTCTGATTGATGAGCAATACCAACCACTCACAAAGACATTATTTAGCTAGAGGTTTTTAGGTATATATTTACAGAATTTGCGGAACAGTCTGCTAAATGAATATAAGGACTATGAATAAAATCTCTGAAAAACAGTTCATTTCCAGCTATATATTTTTTCCATTTATCCTATATAATCTTTTGGTAGCTAAGGAGGAAAGATTTGAAAATTTTACCTTGCTTTGCTTAATTGATATTTGTTATTTATAAATTATGCAAGACATGGAATCATGTCATTTTAATAAGAAAAGAATAGCTCTATCTAAATTACAGGGAACACATATACTCTAACTTTTAATAGTTTGATAAAAACTAATTAAATTGATTAATCTAGAAAATATTTCATCTGTAATACATGTAAGAGTTCACACTACTTACAATCACTTTGGCAAAATAAGAGTATCAATTTATAGCCAATCAACTCTAGATTATCTATGGTAATGGAGAGAAGTGGGGACTCAACTAGTCTCAAGCAATAATCATCCAAAATTTAGTTCTCAGAGGAACAGACTCCAATGGATAGATAGTGCAAAAAAAGAAAAGAGACTCCACAGAGAATTTCAACTTTGCCATTAATTAGTTGAAGTAGGTCACCTATCCCCTGAATTATGGTGGTTGATTGTATTACATAGCACCTTGACCAATCCAAAGGGATTATATTGAAATGCCCTAATTAAGAATAATGAAAATGTATTCAATCCTGTTACTAGGGTATATCTTTGTTATCAAAAGGATTATACTTCATATCACCTCTTTGGTGTTAAGGCCTTTGAAATGTAAACAGCCATTCTTCTTAAATAACTGCTTCTTGTGAATTAGGTTGAGATGCATGGCCCCAAGAGGCAGAGATAAAACTGAGACAAATACACCAAGCCCAATGATATGGAGATCAACATTTTGGGGATGAAAAGATGGAAAATGAAAATGGCCAGTATCATACCATCACATCATGCAGGAAAACAAAGAAACGTTGGCACAAAAGCAACAAACAGGCAAAGAAAATATTGGCACCATCAGCAAAGGGCATTCCCACTAAAGCAGAAAAACTCTATAAACCAGCTATGCAAAGTTCTACTTGGAATTCATTTAGAAAAGCTACAATCTAGTTATCTACAAGCCTGACACAAACACACATTTTATGAAGGGGTAGAATCAAAAACTCATGATCGTTTGCATAAAATGAGAATGACCACCATCTACCCAAGGGTCATACTGATCTATAAAGTATTTAATGACATGCATTTGAAATTGTGCCTTACCTGATCTGTTGTGTTCCAGAAGTCGATTGTCTTTACCCAGACACGTGTCACCCTGAGTGCTATTGCAGGCCATATTTAAATCTGTCTTGCAAAAAGTTGGTGAGCTTGCCTGAGAGGCAGGAGGGATGTGCTTCTTTCTTTTCCTTGGAAGTTTCTGCTTCGCCATTGCCAAAGAGTAGTACATTCCAAAATTGTTGACAATGACAGGCACCGGCATGGCTATTGTCAACACTCCAGCCAGAGCACACAGGGCTCCCACCAGCATCCCTGACCAGGTCTGGGGATACATATCTCCATAGCCCAAGGTCGTCATGGTCACCACAGCCCACCAGAACCCAATAGGAATGTTTTTGAACTGTGTGTGCTCACTAGCTGACGGGTCATTAGGTTGAGCTCCTACTCTCTCAGCATAGTAGATCATGGTAGCAAATATCAAAACTCCTAGTGCCAGGAAGATTATCAGCAGCAAAAATTCATTAGTACTAGCTCGAAGAGTATGTCCAAGAACTCTCAGACCTACAAAATGACGGGTGAGTTTGAAGATTCTCAGGATCCTCACAAACCTTACCACCCTGAGGAAGCCAAGCACATCTTTAGCAGCTTTGGATGAGAGCCCACTGAGTCCCACCTCTAAGTAGAAAGGCAGGATGGCCACAAAGTCAATGATATTCAAGAGATTTTTGATGAATTCAAGTTTATTGGGAGAAAAAACAATACGGACCAAAAATTCAAACGTAAACCACACGACACACACTCCTTCTACATACGTCAAGGCGGGATCCGTTTCAATTTCATATTGTAGAACAACACTTGTGCCATTGATGACTGGTTCTGTCTTGTTTTTAACAATATTGAAAGCTTCATGTGTCTCCAGGCAAAATGTTGTGATTGAAACCAGGATGAAGAATAAAGAAGCAAAAGCAATAAACTGTAGAGGGGAAAAAAGAAATAAAAAAAGAAACAGAGTGTGATCTGAACCAGAATATATACTTTGATCCAAATCTAAGAGCATCAATCTCTGTAGATGAAAAAGAATAAGACATATTTAGAGATTCTACTTGGGTTGTTACTCAAGTGAAAGACAATATGTGTGGATAATATTAATTAGAGTTGCATATGTACTATATTTCAAACCCCATTGTCAGTTTATACAGGTAAAAAGAATGCTCCTTTATGTTAGAAAATAATGTCTTGACTCTTGTTAAGAAAAGATACCAGTGCAAAGAATGTAGAAATCACTCCAAAAAGAATGTTAAAGAGCAACAGACTGAAAAAAAAAAAGTAAACAATGATCCTAGGAATCTACATATATTAAATTAAGTTTTATATCTATAAATAAATGACAGAGTCCACATTAATGGAATTTTGAAATCCATCCAAATTTAACTGTAGGTTTCTATTAACAAAATTTTCAAGTTGTCATGAGGAATGAACATGAAATAAAAACCTCTGAGCTATGTTAGCACTGAAACTATATCAACTTAAGGTAAAGACTCACCCAAAAGAACCAACATAGGGAAGAAGAGTAGCGAACAAGAATGAAGAGAAACAGATTTAAGGAACCAATTAAAAGATAATTTTTTTCTCTCCTGGAAAAGCACTCCAAATGTTAGAGTAACATGTTGCAAAGCTGTAGGTTTTTTTTTTAGTCAACCCTATCTCATTTCTTCAGTTAACATTACATAAATAGAAGCAATGACTAATAAATAATAATAAAAATTCTCACATAACAAACATTCTTCAAAAGCAATTTACATAATTAACTCATGTTAATCCCCATAACAACACTACAATTATCCCATTTTACAATTCTGGAATACTAGGCACAGGAAATTTAGGTCTTTTCCAAAGTCATAAGATAGAAGGAGATAGATCTGAGACACTAACCTAACAGAGTTAGGTCCAGATTCTTCTCCCTTAACTAGCAAACTCTCAAATGTAGAAAATAAATATGTTTAAAGCACTGATTTCTCTTAGGATCATATATTTCTTAATAATAAAGACCTAGAAACTTGAAATCCAGTTGTTTGAGTGAATGGTAATTCTGGGTAAGACCTGAGGCTTTCAAAGAAAGAAGGAGATTCCTAGTGCTTTCTGAGAATGATCTCAGATTTATCAAGATAATAAAAACAAATAAACCACTCCTTGAACATCTAAATGAATTATTCAAAAGCAGAAAGGTTGTCAGTTAAGTTGGGAGGGGGGCTTATTTGAAAATAATAGGGTATCACTAAAACTCGAAATAGTTCCCTAGTATCTACTCTTTGGCCATGGCACTGAGAAAATCCAAGAAGGCTTCAAGAAGAGATTGAAAACATCTTTTTTTGGTTGAGTTTCAACCAACGAGTACATATGAAATAAACAAAAGGATTAAAATAAAAACCTTTGGACTATGACCATCTGCCCTAAAAAACTACCCCCAACCATGAAACTATTTCTGTGCGGTGTGCTAGTTACTGCCATCATTCATATTGCTTCAGAAGCAGGTTACTTTGACATATTTTTCTGTGTACATCTTCCAATTTCCCTTGACTTTGGTATTATGATTTGATCATTATCTTTCCAAGATGTACAGAAAGACATCAGTATGCTTTTCTTCATTCATCTTTCTCTTCATACAAATAAATGTATGATTCTTAGTTTTAACTCTTAGTATTACTAGGTCACCATAGAAATTTTAAAAAGTTGGCATCTTTAGAGGAAGAATTAATTATCTTTGATATACATTATTTCTTAAGCTAATCACAATTTTATCTATAGATTTGAGAGTCAAATTTGTTTCTGCTCCCCCTAAAATCTTCTTTGGTTAGTAGAGTCCGACTTACTGACTGCCCACAGATATTTCCCACACTCCACCATCTCTACCTATCTCCAGCATTTCAGACTAAGTATCAAAAGATTCATACACAACTTTTGCCGTTGATGCAATTACAGAAAACAAGAGTTAAATAAACTGCAATTTTATTTTATGCCTCTAGTCTTCCTTAGTCAGCATTTTTTCAGCTATCTTTGCCATCTCAGACTCTCCTTACTTACATTTATGTAGTGAATTGAGTGGGGGTCTCCAACACTGTTCATTCAAAATTTGTCTTGGGCCTTCCTGGTGGCACAGGCGGTTGAGCGCAGTGCTGTGAAGCTGTCCTCAGCCTCTGCAGCACGGGTTCAATCCTGCCTGGCTGTGGAGATACCCACATGGCACGGCAGGCCTCTCCTGTCTCGCCTGCTTCTCCCCTCAGCAGTGTATTTCAGTCAGTCTGCCTGTTCTGTTCCCCTTCTGTCTCTTGTGAATCCTCTCAACCTCCTGCACATCTGGCCTGTACCCTGGTTCTTGTATGCATGAATAAATAAATCTTAAAACAAAAACAAAATGTGTCCTAGCTTACCTGCCCACCTTCATACAACAAAAGTTTTCTTGTATACTTTGCTCTTTGTCAATAAAAAGCTCTGAGGTCTTTCCCAGTCTGATATTTTCTCACCTTTCATTTAGTCATTCAACAAATATTACAAGAAGCTTTCCTATGCCAAGTCTCATGATTAAGGTTTTAATTTAACAGTCGTTAACAAAACATAATCTCCATCTTTGAAGAACTCACAGTCTGCTAGAGATACAGATATTAAATAACCGTGCAATTATACAATTGCATTTGTGATAAATGTAAGAGAAAAAAAGAATGCTTGGAAAGGATCAAGAAAGGAACTTATTTTGACTGAGGGGTCATAGAAACCTCCAGCAAAATATTAATAGTTTGAAATTTGAGGGATGAAATGGGGGGGTGGGGGGGAGTGACCTAATGGAAAGGGAAGACTTATATAACATAAAATGGGAAATTTTTACAAAAAAGACTGGACTTTTCTGTATCATTTGATGACTAACACCATAGGAACAGCAAGTTATCCAAATCTGCCTCTATGCACATATTGTGATGAATAAATACCAATGTAGCACAGAGACCCTGAATTTAAAGGTTAGCTTTTTTTTCCTGAACAACTTTAAATCAACCAAAAATATTACCTGGGATTTAAAATGAGGCTGGAAGCTGACTTTAGAGCCATTAGACTGCTGGTGGTGCGCCTTTGGACTTGTGTTAGGAGACCTAAAGAATTCACTGATGTTGAATAATTTTACCAGCCCCTTTGATAGAGATGAAGTAAAAAAATAAAGCATATAGATTGAAGTGCTTTTAGCTTTAAAGTACTTACAGATATTAGAAATCATTATTATGTATTTTAGTATACTTTCATAAAACATAATTATTACCTCAATGAAAACTACTAGAACCTGATGTTTCTGTTCATTAAATAACTTATTATGTTGTCAGGAAAAGGTCAAACAGAGTCTTAAGATACCACTTTTGAAGGTTGGAATTTAAGTAACATGAATCATAGTGTGCTAGAAAACCATTTAAATTACCAACTCATATTACTATAAAAGGAGCATGGTCTGAAGATCGCATTCATTAGCATACACTCAGGGATACACAAATGTGAATTCTTTACCCCCACATCACAGATTGGACACAGATTCTCTTCTGTAGGGAATCTGCATCTAACAAGCTTTGTAGGTGATCTCTATGCATACTAGTTTGAAAATTATTGTTCCAGAGCTTTAAAAAAAAAAGGATTAATACAAATGTATTGAAGCAGTTTTTAAATTACAAGCATTTTTACATTTTAAAAGAATCTTCCTAAAAATCAGTAAGAATGGTTGACAGCCTCTTAAGTGATGGGGTATTTGTGCATGTGTGTGCATGTGTGTGTGTGTGTGAGTGTGTGTGTGTGAGAGAGAGAGAGACATTTTAGCTTCTATACAAATACTAGTCAGTAAAACAATCAATGGGACAAGCTTTAAATATACAAAATGCTAAGACACCAAACTAGATAAAACAAAAGTTATCTAATTTCAAAAATCATCTAGAATTTGCATCAATATTTATCATCAATATTATCAATATTTTACCACAATTATTTAAAAGAACCACATCATGATTATGTAGTTGTAGTTGTATATTGTCATTGTAAATTTTATAGCTCAATATATCTTTGGTTTCTAAGTACTTCGTGAATCAACAGGAATATGATAATGCTGTCATATGAAAATAAAAAGTATTGAAAAAAGGAAACAAGATTAACTGGTTGGGGTTCTACTTTTAGGTATTATGTCAATCTACCTCAACACAAATATTCAAGTATCCATAGATCTCTGCTTATGTGCAGAGTAGGATAGAATTGAAAGTATTTTATGTTTCATTTTTGTTCCTGTTAGCATTAAAATAAATGTAACTGAACTCAATACCTAACTTGATAACTTTCAATACACATTGAGGCCAGGATCTGAAGTGGCCCTTATTTGTGCTCCTCTCACTGGGAATCCCTAATATTGTAGCATTTTTCACATAATTTTGTTACTGATTCCACACATCCACAAATTGTTCAAAGAGGATTTAACCATCCATAACGAAAACAAGAGGCAGGTGCACAGTCCTTGTTTTGAAATTAGTAGGAACAGTTATTGAAATTATTTTTTGGCCCCAGCATAAAATCTGTCCTTTCAAAATCATTTCATCCTATTCATTCACAATTAGAAACTGACATATTTGGCAAAGTTTGGAAACCTGAAGAAAAATTAAACTGATAAGAATAGATACTACACTTGATTGTAATCAAAAGGCTGAGAAGTCATGTGCTGATATAATCTGAAGAGGTGTGATCCTGTAACTCTGAATCATATACAGTGTTGTAAACCAATGTTGCCTCAATTTAAAAAATACAAAAAAAAAAAAAACCAGCCTGGAGAGAAAATAAACTGATTGTATTTTTAAATAAAACTACTGAAATAATTGAATATTTGGAAATTAAATTACAGGAAGATTTTTAAGACAACTTGTCTAAGATATATGGTATCTATATATGGTAAGCAACTTCAATTTT